CGTTACGCAGCCGTTTACTGCCTCCATCATCAAGTCTCTGCTAAGATTATTCATCACCCTGATAGCGGAAGCAATTAAGAGCCTCTGAAACGTCGGTAACTTTGTATGCACGTATCTTGTTTTAATTTTTAAAACTGAGAGTCACTTACTGACAGGCATCTGTGAAATTGTGTACAAACAACGTGCCACGAGATAGCTATCGATTTCGTACTCAGGCACCCATTTAGATAATCCGCATGTTTGATGTTTTGGATACACATTACCGATGACAGACAGTAAATAAGAAGTGGTGGGAGGGATCTAATGGAATTATATTAAATTCTGAGTTAAATGAGAGTCTCTCAGTTGCTTCGAAATTTGTGAGGAACAAGGAATGAAGGATTGGTACAAGGGCATGATACTGTAACGTCCCTCATAGAATAAGAAACCAGGGTAAAGATTCTTTTAACAGATCTCGTTGGGACGCTGGCGCGCAGTAAACACACAACAAAGGCAAACCTGAGATCAAAGAGTGAAGATTTCAATTTCAGCTGACGGAGGGCGACATCAAACGGAATTGAGCACAAGCCAGGATATATTGCTTTCAGCAACGAAAAAGAATGCATTGTTATTCTACACTTTCGTCCACTTGAAACGGTTTGCTTTGAGAGCCTCTCTGTGATCGTCTGACAATATGTAAATTTGTTTCAGACGCCATGTCAAACTTAATCTGCGAAAAATGTTGGGTCACATAAAAACATAATTGAAGGAACCTATCCCGACATCTGTCAGCAGTTATGTTAACTATTTTCACCTCTTATCATCGTCATCTGCTTCTTCTTCTTCTTTCAAACCAAGGATTACGTCACAAGACAGAAATGACAACAATCTTTTTTACATTTGTCATTTCTCTTCTTACTTTAATTCAATTCAGTTCATTTATTTAAGTCTTTGCCAACAAGAAACCAATAACAGGCAAACACTGATAATACTTACAATAATAATGAAAAATATTACACAAACAGATTAACTAAACATACATTTCTTTTCGTGTCCATGTGCATTGGTGGTTAGCAGGATTCACGACCCATCAGTACATGGGTTCGATCGGGACCGCTACATTTAACGCTCCTGCTGTGACCCCTTTTTTACGAGATGATGATGAAAGTGGAGTAATTGTTGTGATGCCACGGAGAAACCGGCGAAACCCCGGAGGAAAACTCCGTGATGCCTAGACCACGGCCTTGCCCAACACAAGTTGTAAATCTGAGCACCGCCGGGAATCGAACCCGGAACCCCCGTATTACAAGCCCAGCGCAAACCCAAAATAGAAACAATATTATACACAACGAAAAATAAACAAATAAATATAAATAAAAGCATATAATCCACCTAGGGAACACTAATATAATTGTAAAACGTTAAAGAAATATAAAAAACATATAACCAAGCTAAATCATCTATCAAGACAACCTATCTAGATCTTTTCCCTTATTGAGAACGTGTCCTCAAGGGAGACAATGTTTATGCTAAATACATCCAAAGATTTACATACGTCATTTGCAGCGATGACGCACCTGGCTGAAGGACTATGTCTTAGAGCACTGCTCATACTAAGGTTAGGTTATAATATTAAGTTTTCTTAGATAAGTAAAGGGGGTTCTATAAGTCCATGGGAACAACTACCATATCGATTTTGTTACATTAAACTGCGTATCTCTCTTATCTTTTCCTACAAACTTTCTGGCTCCGTCTGAGATGCATGACGGTACTTCATTCGACATCTCATACAGAATGTCCAATAAAATAAATGAAACTAAAACCTACTTAATTAAAACGGTCGAACTGTTTGGACAGGAAGACAAACAGAATGATTCTACAGACTCTCGTAACATTCAGAAGCAGACCGAGACAAGACATAGTTTGCTTTCTGAGAGAAGCTCAAAATGTTGGCTGACTGTCCCTTTGTTTAAAGGCTGTCCACATAACAGCGTCATATTGGATGAACATTATTCGTGGACATCAAGTGAATAACGCTCATATATCTTTGTAGTGTTAAGTTGAAATTCGCTCATGGACTTCCAGAGAAATAGCAATATGATATATATATATAAATTAAAATTATGTTGATAACAATGCTTGAAATAGATACCTTACCGTTCGGATGTTTACTTTCAACATCACTGAAAAGGTGTAATCCGAATACAATATTTGCGACTATATTTTCCCAAAATTATGTTTAATTACTCGTATTTTATAAAAATATACGATGGTTAGTTCTTTTATAACTCATTATTATGTAATTTTCAGTTGTTCTTTATCGCAATATTCACTAATTCACGTTTTTTATTATTTATTTCACGTACCATTGAGAAATGAGGGGAAAAGTTTGATTTTAGATAAAACCTACCGTTTAGCTCGGTATATTTTTAATATTTTTGTTGGCAGTAGGAATACTCTAAATTTAATAGTAGCAATCGATCAACGAATTAAATCTGCTCCTAACTTTGACAATATTGAAAATAAAATAAAATGATCTCTTCCTAGAAAATTGTTTGCTACACTATCATCTTAAACGAACGCGATAAATCAGATATGAGACAAAATTATTCAACCATTTAATTCCTAAATTCGTCTAAATTATATTTAATAATTCAGTGTGTGCCACAAAGAAAACATAACACTTTTCTATTACAAAGATCATCTAGTTAACGTTGTTTAAGGAAATCACGGCGTTACACTACGAAGGATAGGAACCCCCATAAATACAAAATGAAACTTTTGTGATTTGAAAAGAAAATGGTATGTATAATTACCACTGGACACTGGGTACACTTTCTTGGACGAATATATATATATATATATATATATATATATTATTCGAAAACTGCCTGGCTTCGACATTCAACGAATGGGAAATGGCACTGAGTCGAATGTTGTGTAACGTTTTATGAGTTCCCTGACAAAACATGACACATAAAAACAAACTACATGCATTGTGAATCTTGGCCACCCACATTCACCGAAGTATTTCGCCTGCTGTCACACTCTTCAGAATAATACAGGAGTATGCAATTCATATGAAAAGTTTAAAATTACAATCTGCAAGCGACACAGCATTCATACAGAACTAACAAGAAAGTTGGTACATTGTATTTAAGTCGGTTGGTGGAAGCATTAATCCATGAATTAGTCAGACACAATATGTTACAAATCAGTAACCTTTATTTCATAACACTCCTGATTTCTTTAGCTTCTGATTCCATGAAAAAATGAGGTCTACATCTTAAAATATGGAGTCCAGTTTTCCTTTCTCGCATATTTTAGCCGATGTCGTTAAAATTTGTATCTGGTATGAAGGAGCGCTCGTTCCTTTTACTTTGTAGCTCCTAAATATGTTAATATATGCAAATTAAAACCGAGAGTCACAAACTATCCGAATTCTGTTCGTACACATTGCGTAGGAAGTTGTGTGTGTTCTTAAGGGAAGTATGGATTTAGGTTAATGTTCCTATTTTGTTCTTAACTGGGCAAAGAAAACATGTCCAGCAATAAAATTAATAACGGAGCAGGAAACTTAAAGAACATCATTTATATGTATGAAGGGTTGGTACAACGTATAGTAAAGCATTTTAGTCTTTGACGTTCGTCTTGTCCGGAGCAACATGAATAAATCTCCCAGAGAAAATTAATTAAAGTGGTGTGTACGATATGCAGATAAAACACGAAGCTAAATAAAAGCTAACTACTACGGAACCGTTTCAGACTAATTACATTTACTGTTTACAAAGCGAAGAAGTTTTGTATCAATTCACCAAATCTGAATTACGTAATATATGACAAAGAAGCTAATTGATGGTGTATGCAATTCATTGTGTGATGCACCCAAGGAAGTTTAAAGTTGAATTCTGTTAAAGTGGAAGTTCCGTTTCCTGTGATCTGACCAGCTGGATGAACGCTACATTCATTATTTGCACTGTACACGGTCAATGTTCAATAAATTCAAATTTCGTATTATGCAGTCCCGCACAACTGTTACACACTCTCAATTAAAAACAGCATATATTTCGTTCTATACTCTTTGCTTCCGAGCGAGGAATTGCCTTGACCTTGAAGCCACGACTTTATGCTGAATGGTCCTAAAACACTGACTTTTACTAAATATGTCCCCATTTTTTGGAGGAACCTGCATTTTATTTGATACAAGGTGTGT